GCTAGAATCCATGTATTATTGACAAAGTTTTGGGGGGTACCCACGAAGGACGTTGGACTATACCCATTCCGCCAGCCTACGCTGTGGGAACTGTGGTAGGACTGGGCACAATGCGCGAACGTGCAAAAAGGATATAGAGGTGTCCTTAGAATTAGATGCTAGTACAATGTACGCAGGCTCCCTGTTTAATAGCAATAAAATTAAGGAGTTGTAGCATAGGTTGAGGCTGCCAAGAGATTTTGGGACACTCGGTGATGAGGGACACTCGGTGATAGTTTAGGTTAGTTACTAAGGAAGTATTACAACTATACACAAAACTTTAGTATATAGATATCTATAAATACTAGCTCTAATAGGAGGTGGCTGCTAGAAAGATTATTATAGAACACGTCTAGTCTGTAAGCATGATTATAGACAGACTTACAAAGGTACTCCTACATCGGGAAAAGTTTTTCCATTGTTGAAATCAGGAAATTGTGGCATTGTACTGTGGGCAATAGTAGGACTTGTAGGCCTATAATAGTTATTTAATGTGCATTCAATGTCTAGCTAATTTTGAGCTAACAGCTCTAATAGTCCTAACAGCTGTAATAGCTATAATGTTGCAGCCAAAATAGAGGTAAAATGTACATACATTTGCACCCCTGAATTGGCTGGTAAATAGGCATGATATGTGCTGCGACACACCCCCTCACGTCCAACCAGGACCGCATGATTGGAGGTGACACAACGCAGCAGAATGCCTAATGTGCTGAGTAGGTGAATCCTTCTTCGTGATGCTCTACACTATGCTCCAGATGGTAGCCCTAGTTAAGCAGGTACCATGCCAAGGCTCGGCTATGGTCACCCATGGAACACGAAAATCCATTCAATCTTTGCTTGCGCAGCTTCAGCGTCCGGGCTCATAACTGTTGCAGCCAAAATAGAGGTAAAATGTACATACATTTGCACCCCTGAATTGGCTGGTAAATAGGCATGATATGTGCTGCGACATATAACAACTCCTAATCCTGCTATAATAGTAGCTCTACTTATTAAACTGTACTTTTATTATATTAATATACTACTAAGTCTCCTCTTTACAACACAACACCAAAACACAAATTGTCCAGATATCTCTCTTCTTGCCTGCGCCCATCTCAACTCAACTGGGATATACTACCCTGAAACTCCTAGAGCCTCTAGGCGCCTGGTTGCCTCGCGTTGCCCGGTGCAAGAGTGCCGCCCTCCTGTTCAAATTTTCAAATTTTCGCTGCACAGACCACCCATCCTTATCCGAAAATCTTATCTTATTAAAGATCTTATCTACAAGAACACCAAAACCTAAACAAAACAGCTACCTACACAATAGACAGTAATAAGCCTTTGCTTAGTTTTCTGCTTTCTAACCTTACTCTCTACTCCTAGAGGTCCACTAGTTAGGCTAGTAAGAATAGGGTATAAGGCAAGAATAGTAAAACTATAACAGCCTTTTTACCTTATTTTTCAGCTCTGAAAAGCTGACGGAGATTAGGTACCTCTGCCTGTGCAAAAATAAGCTCTCCTCTAGTCACTTTGTATTTTTTCCTTATAAAAGAGAAGGATACCTACACCTAGGACCCAGGACCCAGGACAATGGAACCAGAACCTCTGGCTAGTAGAGAGCAATCTCTAGACAGGGAGACAATGGAGCTGAGCACTCCTAGCTCCCCTGACCCTCTAGGAGAGATGTACCTACCTACACCCACTCCTATGCCTCT